GTCCAAGGTTCTTTGTTCTAATCCAAACACGTCTCTTTGGACCGGGCTCAGATCAGCAGCAGCAGAATCCAAAAACCCAAAACAAAATATAAACGCTTCCAGAACTCGCTGCCAATAATGAGACCGGAACGAGTCCCTGAGGCTGGAGCAGAAGAGCTGAGGGGAGAGTCCGCTCTAACTGGGTTTAAACGGGTCAGATCTGGGCAGAGTGCACGTCGTGTTGTTTGGACCCGTGTCAACATTTTCATTGCGAGGAAGACCGATAAAAGAGTAGAAACCACTTTAAGATAAGTCTTCAATAGTCATGGCATGAGCACCTAGGACCAGAGAGAGACCAGAGAGACCAGAAAGAGACTAGAGAGAGAGAGAGACCAGAGAGAGAGAGAGAGAGAGAGAAATACCAGAGAGAGACTAGAGAGAGAGACCAGAGAGAGACTAGAGAGAGAGACCAGAGAGAGACTAGAGAGAGACCAGAGAGAGACCAGAGAGAGAGAGACCAGAGAGAGACTAGAGAGAGACAAGAGAGAGACCAGAGAGAGAGCGACCAGAGAGAGACCCGAGAGTGACCAGAAAGAGAGACCAGAGAGAGAGACTTCCTACTTCTCAACCCGGAGAAGACAGAAGTGATCCTACTCGGTCCGAAGCGCCTGCGTGACTCCCTCACTAACCAGATGGTTACTCTCGATAATGTCAGTATAATACCCAGTAACACTGTGAGGAATCTTGGAGTCATTTTTGACCAAGAACTCTCCTTCAAGGCTTATATAAGCCAAGCAACTAAAACGGCGTACTTCCACTTACGGAACATCGCTAAAATTAGGAATTTCCTTCCTAAAAGTGACGCGGAAAAACTCATTCACGCTTTTGTCACCTCAAGGCTCGACTACTGTAACGCTTTACTGGCAGCGTGCCCTAAAGCCTCTTTGAAGAGCTTCCAGCTCGTTCAGAATACAGCAGCTAGGATCTTAACAGGTACCAAAAGGAGGGAGCACATAACTCCGGTGTTAAAATCACTACACTGGCTCCCTGTGGAGTACAGAATAAAGTTTAAAATCCTACTCTTAACATATAAAGCCATAAATGGCTTGGCTCCTTCTTATCTCCAAGACACGTTAGTGTCGTATCAACCAAGTCGAGCGTTGCGCTCACAAAACGCCAGACGTCTGGTGGTCCCTAAGGTCTCAAAGGTCACTGTTGGTGGCAGAGCATTTAGCTACCAAGCTCCTTTACTGTGGAATCAGCTTCCCATTTATGTTAAGGAAGCAGATACGGTCTCCACATTCAAGGCCAGGCTTAAAGCACTTTACTTTAATTTAGCATATAATTAGGTAATATATAATATGTAGTGTATATATTATATATATATGCTGTATTATGTTATATATTATGTTATATATTATTCAATAATGTATTGTGTTATGTTGTATATTATGTTATATATTATGCTGTATGTTATTCTTTATTCAAGGCTAGGTTTAAAACAGTCCTCTTTAGTTTAGCATATGGCTAGGAAGGTAAGACTCGGAGAAGGTTAAACTCCTCAGAGTGTTAGTCAAGCTGCATAGGGAGTCAGTTTTCTGGGAGAAGTATGGTAACTTGAGCACTATCCTCTCCTCCTTCCTACTTTATCTGTTTAGCATTTTTAGGATTCTGACTGTAGTTTGTTCATTGCTATTCACCCGTTGTCCCATTGTCTGTTTCATGGTACGATGACGGGATCTCTGAGCCTGGCCTCTTCCATCTACACCTGCGGACTGCCCCGCCCGACCCGCCTGGGAGTGCTTCGGTCCTGCACCGGACCTGTCCACGTTCAGCGTCCACTGGTCCACGTTCTGTAGCTAGCTTAGGTCCTAGATCATTAGTCTGTCCGTCCGGAGGAGCGGATCCCTTTCTCATATGGGTCTCCCTCCCTGTGGGTTTCCCTAGTTCTCCTCCAAGGTTTCTCACTTTTTCCCACTGGGTTTTTTAAGAGTTTTTCCTTGTCGATGCAGGAGGGTCTTGTTGGACAGTTAGTGTCCAACAGAAAGGATTGGTGATGATCAGGACACTTTAGCATTCTACAACATGTATGGACATTTTCTTCTGTGTGTGCTTTATATTCTTCATGTGTTTTAACTGTTGATTCTCTGACCTGTGTTGGTGATTTCAATGGTTTTGTTAAGTCTCTGAGATGACTTCTGTTGTGACCTAGGGCTATACAAGAATAAATTGTATTGTAATTGTATTGTATTAGAAAGAGACCAAAAAGAGGCCAGAAAGAGACCAGAGAGACCAGTGAGAGACCAGAGAGAGAGACCAGTGAGAGACCAGAGAGAGACCAGCGAGACCAGAGAGAGAGACCAGTGAGAGACCAGAGAGAGAGACCAGTGAGAGACCAGAGAGAGACCAGAGAGAGACCAGAGAGAGACCAGAGAGAGACCAGAGAGAGACCAGAGAGAGAGAGACCAGAGAGAGACCAGAGAGAGACCAGAGAGAGACCAGAGAGAGACCAGAGAGAGACCAGAGAGAGACCAGAGAGAGACCAGAGAGAGAGACCAGAGAGAGACCAGAGAGAGACCAGAGAGAGACCAGAGAGAGACCAGAGAGAGACCAGAGAGAGAGACCAGAGAGAGACCAGAGAGAGACCAGAGAGAGACCAGAGAGAGACCAGAGAGAGACCAGAGAGAGAGACCAGAGAGAGACCAGAGAGAGAGCGACCAGAGAGAGACCCGAGAGTGACCAGAAAGAGAGACCAGAGAGAGACCAGAGAGAGAGCGACCAGAGAGAGACCCGAGAGTGACCAGAAAGAGAGACCAGAGAGAGAGCGACCAGAGAGAGACCCGAGAGTGACCAGAAAGAGAGACCAGAGAGAGACCAGAGAGAGAGCGACCAGAGAGAGACCCGAGAGTGACCAGAAAGAGAGACCAGAGAAAGAGAGACCAGAGAGATTAGAAAGAGACCAAAAAGAGGCCAGAAAGAGACCAGAGAGACCAGTGAGAGACCAGAGAGAGAGACCAGTAAGAGACCAGAGAGAATCTAGAGAGAGACCAGAGAGAGAGACCTCCATTCTCTCCAGTCTGACCACAGCCGTTGCTTCTAAACTCGCTCCATAATTGTTGCTGTTCATTGTTAACTCAACCCTAACCACACACACCGTCCAATCACGCGTCTCTAATCGCCCACCGCTGGGACGGGGGGGACGGGGGGGACAGGGGGGGCGGGGGCGGGGGGGGGGGACAGACTCCAACAGCAGCAGAGATGAGTCCTGGCGGTGTGAGGGTCTAATGAAAATCCTGTTTCTCTTAATCCTTATTAAAGTCTGTGTCTTAAGTCTTTAGCAGAACAAATCCCTGTGCTCGCCTGAATGGGCAGCTCACAGGGGCAGCTCACAGGGGCAGCTCACAGGGGCAGCTCACAGGGGCAGCTCACAGGGACAGCTCACAGGGGCAGCTCACAGGGGCAGCTCACAGGGACAGCTCACAGGGACAGCTCACAGGGGCAGCTCACAGGGACAGCTCACAGGGGCAGCTCACAGGGACAGCTCACAGGGGCAGCTCACAGGGACAGCTCACAGGGGCAGCTCACAGGGCAGCTCACAGGGGCAGCTCACAGGGGCAGCTCACAGGGCAGCTCACAGGGGCAGCTCACGGGGCAGCTCACAGGGGCAGCTCACAGGGCAGCTCACAGGGGCAGCTCACGGGGGCAGCTCACAGGGGCAGCTCACAGGGGCAGCTCACGGGGCAGCTCACAGGGGCAGCTCACGGGGCAGCTCACAGGGGCAGCTCACAGGGGCAGCTCACGGGGCAGCTCACAGGGGCAGCTCACGGGGCAGCTCACAGGGGCAGCTCACGGGGGCAGCTGGGGCAGCTCACAGGGGCAGCTCACAGGGGCAGCTCATGTGTTTTCACAACGATGGTCATTTAAGGCACTCTGCTGTGTTCGCTGCTATTGACTGAAGGATCATGGGAGATGTAGTTTCACAGTTGGGACAGGGCCTTTCTGATTGAGAGGCAGTCAGTGGTAGTCAGTGGCAGTCAGACACAGTCAGTGGAAGTCAGTGGCAGTCAGACACAGTCAGTGGAAGTCAGTGGCAGTCAGTGGCAGTCAGTGGCAGTCAGTGGCAGTCAGTGGCAGTCAGTGGCAGTCAGACACAGTCAGTGGAAGTCAGTGGCAGTCAGTGGCAGTCAGTGGCAGTCAGTGGCAGTCAGTGGCAGTCAGTGGCAGTCAGTGGCAGTCAGTGGCAGTCAGTGGCAGTCAGAGACAGTCAGAGACAGTCAGTGGCAGTCAGTGGCAGTCAGTGGCAGTCAGAGACAGTCAGTGGCAGTCAGTGGCAGTCAGAGACAGTCAGTGGCAGTCAGTGGCAGTCAGTGGCAGTCAGTGGCAGTCAGAGACAGTCAGTGGCAGTCAGAGACAGTCAGTGGCAGTCAGAGACAGTCAGTGGCAGTCAGAGACAGTCAGTGGCAGTCAGTGGCAGTCAGAGACAGTCAGTGGCAGTCAGAGACAGTCAGTGGCAGTCAGTGGCAGTCAGTGGCAGTCTGTGGCAGTCAGAGACAGTCAGTGGCAGTCAGAGACAGTCAGTGGCAGTCAAAGAGTTCCCTGTTCTATTGTTTTAATACGTACATGTTTGAATGGCAGTGATGTCGTGTTGTAAAGGGCTGCATGAACTACACTGACTGTGATGAGGCTCATAATGGATTTGTAGAAACAGGTTTTGGTTTTCGACCCAAACGTTCTGAGGAAGTGAAGCCTCTGAGTTTCATCCACACAAATGTAAAGAATGATTAGTTTCATAACAAACCAAATGAAGCGTGTCTGTGACAGGACTGTGGTCATGAAGAGAGTTAGAGACTGTATATATATCTTTATATAAAAAATAAAAACAAAATTCTCACCTTTGGCCCTCCGCGGGCGGTTATCCCTCTCTAAGTTTGGGTCCTCTACCAGAGGCCTGGGAGCTTGAGGGTTCTGATATACATATATATATATATATATATATATATATATATATATATATATATATCAGAACCCTCAAGCTCCCAGGCCTCTGGTAGAGGACCCAAACTTAGAGAGGGATAACCGCCCGCGGAGGGCCAAAGGTGAGAATTTTGTTTTTATTTTTTATATAAAGATATATATACAGTCTCTAACTCTCTTCATGACCACAGTCCTGTCACAGACACGCTTCATTTGGTTTGTTATGAAACTAATCATTCTTTACATTTGTGTGGATGAAACTCAGAGGCTTCACTTCCTCAGAACGTTTGGGTCGAGAACCAAAACCTGTTTCTACAAATCCATTATGAGCCTCATCACAGTCAGTGTAGTTCATGCAGCCCTTTACAACACGACATCACTGCCATTCAAACATGTACGTATTAAAACAATAGAACAGGGAACTCTTTGACTGCCACTGACTGTCTCTGACTGCCACTGACTGTCTCTGACTGCCACAGACTGCCACTGACTGCCACTGACTGCCACTGACTGTCTCTGACTGCCACTGACTGTCTCTGACTGCCACTGACTGCCACTGACTGTCTCTGACTGCCACTGACTGTCTCTGACTGCCACTGACTGTCTCTGACTGCCACTGACTGTCTCTGACTGCCACTGACTGCCACTGACTGCCACTGACTGCCACTGACTGTCTCTGACTGCCACTGACTGCCACTGACTGTCTCTGACTGCCACTGACTGCCACTGACTGCCACTGACTGTCTCTGACTGTCTCTGACTGCCACTGACTGCCACTGACTGCCACTGACTGCCACTGACTGCCACTGACTGCCACTGACTGCCACTGACTGCCACTGACTGCCACTGACTTCCACTGACTGTGTCTGACTGCCACTGACTGCCACTGACTGCCACTGACTGCCACTGACTGCCACTGACTGCCACTGACTTCCACTGACTGTGTCTGACTGCCACTGACTTCCACTGACTGTGTCTGACTGCCACTGACTACCACTGACTGCCTCTCAATCAGAAAGGCCCTGTCCCAACTGTGAAACTACATCTCCCATGATCCTTCAGTCAATAGCAGCGAACACAGCAGAGTGCCTTAAATGACCATCGTTGTGAAAACACATGAGCTGCCCCTGTGAGCTGCCCCTGTGAGCTGCCCCAGCTGCCCCCGTGAGCTGCCCCTGTGAGCTGCCCCGTGAGCTGCCCCTGTGAGCTGCCCCGTGAGCTGCCCCTGTGAGCTGCCCCTGTGAGCTGCCCCGTGAGCTGCCCCTGTGAGCTGCCCCGTGAGCTGCCCCTGTGAGCTGCCCCTGTGAGCTGCCCCCGTGAGCTGCCCCTGTGAGCTGCCCTGTGAGCTGCCCCTGTGAGCTGCCCCGTGAGCTGCCCCTGTGAGCTGCCCTGTGAGCTGCCCCTGTGAGCTGCCCCTGTGAGCTGCCCTGTGAGCTGCCCCTGTGAGCTGTCCCTGTGAGCTGCCCCTGTGAGCTGTCCCTGTGAGCTGCCCCTGTGAGCTGTCCCTGTGAGCTGCCCCTGTGAGCTGTCCCTGTGAGCTGTCCCTGTGAGCTGCCCCTGTGAGCTGCCCCTGTGAGCTGTCCCTGTGAGCTGCCCCTGTGAGCTGCCCCTGTGAGCTGCCCCTGTGAGCTGCCCCTGTGAGCTGCCCATTCAGGCGAGCACAGGGATTTGTTCTGCTAAAGACTTAAGACACAGACTTTAATAAGGATTAAGAGAAACAGGATTTTCATTAGACCCTCACACCGCCAGGACTCATCTCTGCTGCTGTTGGAGTCTGTCCCCCCCCCCCGCCCCCGCCCCCCCTGTCCCCCCCGTCCCCCCCGTCCCAGCGGTGGGCGATTAGAGACGCGTGATTGGACGGTGTGTGTGGTTAGGGTTGAGTTAAC